TAGGAGTTGGGATGGTGATAATGGTAATAATCTATCACCATATTTTCATTTATTAGCGTCAGTTCTTCTATAAAGAGAAATTTTTCTTCTACTTGGTTACCATTGGTACAGTTTATTTAGGAAACAAGGCACAGTCAATGCCTTCCCCTGCTTTTAACTACTTCTTACAATGAGGCGGCTTCCTGTTACCCTCAGTGTTCATTCACTTCCTTCATTTGATGTGTTTGAGTGCACTGTGGTTGTGAGTTCATTGACGCAAACTTTCCCATCGTTCCCATCTTCGAGGCTGGCTCCTTAGATCTACTTGACATACACTGTTGTAATTGTTTGGTAGCTTTCTCACGAGGTGTTGTAATTGTTTGATAGCTGGTATCACAAAATGTTCTGAGCTTTTCTTGCAGATTCCAGCTCCAGACCTGCAATCAGTCGTTCTTCAAGGGGCCTGGTTTCTTTAATGGAAGCAATATTTATTCCTAGCATATGCTAGGAGTGCTGCTTGTTACTACGCAGTTTATTGTTTTTAGGCTTTTTATCAATGGAACTAGGAAACTGACTTATATGGTGTGTGTTATGTATATATGTGTGTATGTTATGGCTTTGTGCAAAAGATAAGCTCTTATAAATTAAACACTTTTTTAACTACAGCATTTTAGCCATACCACTTTTCCCGCTCGTATCTCCTTTTTCATACTGAGTTGTGTGTTCTGGGCCACAGGGTGTAATGTATGTCCCCTAATTCCAGGATCTGTAGGGAAACTCAAGTCCTCCAGTGAAGGTCTGAAGACAGTGCTCACCCCTGTGTGTCCTGTCTGCTTCTGCACGTACATACCTGTGATAAATTGACTTATCAGCTGGGTACAGCGTGATGTCATCAGCACTAATAAACAGTTTAAACTGTGTACTGTAATTCTGGCGGTAACTTAGTGTAGTACACCTGCCTTTCTCATGGTGCTCCCCTGAGGACATGAAGTGAGCAGCATCTGGCTGCTCGAAATCAAGCACTGCAGTATCTTTAACAGCCAGGGTGGCAGCTGCGTAGCTGAGCGTCCTGGACGAGGGATGAGGCACGTCCAGGCAGGCAGAGCGGGTCACTGAGGAGTTCCTCACGCTGCCCAGGACAGCCTGCTGTCTGAAGGTCACCAGTGTTTTAGTTCCGGAATTTTCCATTGAATAGTTTGAGGTCTTGTTTGACCTTAGGTAGCCGGAAGGATTGGTGAGGCCTGCTGTGCCCACGCGGCCGTCCAGCACGCGTCCCCCCAGGAGCCACCGTTAACAAAGCAGGCCGCAGCATCGCGTCATCACTGAAGAGCGGCTGCTCTTGCAGATGTTCTCCCGTGTATTGTAGCTGTGCCTGCATTTTAGGGTCATGGATGTCCTGCATATTCTCTCCTTCCAGACTCTTCCCTAATCTCTCCTCTACAAGTAAATACATGTTCACTGCGTAGGAATACCAGTCTTTCTGTAGTCACCTTGGATAAATAGGCCTTTTTTGTTTTCAAAATGCCAGCATCATTTTTCATACAAATTAACATTTTGATTCTTACATTTCTGTAGAAATGCAAAAGGCTCAGAATAGTCTAAACAGCTTTGATAAAAGAAATTAGAGCCCTCCCCATCCCACGACTTACCACGAAGTTACGCCAGTCATGACAGACGGCATTGAAATGGGCCTTTTTCTCCAGCAGGTTGTGACTTCTTTTCCGTGTGATAAGGTCGCAGTATTTGCACTTTGGTATTCTTTTATATCATAAATGTGTATTTGATATGTATATACAGGCCTTTTCTGTGTTGTGAACTTGTGGTTTTTCTCTTGCAATACTTACCTTTGTTGCCTTTTTTGACTTCTTTTTCCTTTTCACTTTGCAGTTCTTTTCAGTCACTTACAATTTTATTCATTATATGTTCCTTTTATTTAGTCTTTGTTTCTGGAGTAATTTTACCTTGGTGCGTTTGTGCAGGGGGCCGGACACAGCGAACAGTCACATCATTTGCTGAGCCATGCACCTCGCCCTTTGCCTTCTCATTATTACCTTCCACCCCTAGTGAGTTTTTCTAATTGCGGTGCGTGTTAATTTTTTCCACAGGAGAAAACTGTCTTGTCTTGGAGCTTTCGCGGTGGTTCTCCCGAGCTGGGGGTTCTGGGGGAGTCGGCCCATGCCCTTGGGTGTGCAGCCGACCTGCAGTTAGTTTCCCTTGTGCAGTTGTGGTTGCTGTGGCACAGGTCGCCCTTGTCCTTCTCTAACCCTGCGCTCTCCCTTTCTTTTTATCTGCTGCCCGAATCCGGGTGCTGCCTCGCAGTATTTGAACTTCCCCGTCCTGAGGTGCTCACGTTGGATTCTGCCCCCTGAAGTGTGGTCTGGAGGCCACGTTGGCTGGTTAGCTCGGAGAGTTATGCGAGATCTGCCCTTACCCACTCAATTTTAGGGGCTGGTGGGAAGGAGGACACTGTCCCCCATGTATCGTAGATTTGTGCTCCTTTGGACTTGTGTGGTTTTGGGGGGCCAGACTTGGGGAGATTAAGCACTGAGCTGCTGCCCCACCGCGTTCCCGGTTGACCTCCAGCAGGATTCGTGAGTATTCAGTGGCTAACTGTGACGCTGCTGTTGTGCGGAACTATTTTTAGGAAACAAGGGCATTCCAAGTCTTAATTAATTATTGCAATTAGTTTTATTTAGTTGGACCCAGGAATAAAGCTAAAAATAAAAGCAAACAGCTTCATTTACAGGAAAAACACTCCTTGACCACGGTTTTGTATTGAATAGGTACTGAGCCAGATTATTTTATGTATTAATAAAAATTTTAATTTTTATTAGCATATGGTTGGTAGTCATGATGATTACATTGTGGGGAGTTGGTGCATGGACATAACATCTTAATTCTGTCCTTTATGTCCATTCCCCTCTCCTCCCTCTTACTGCCTCCCTCCCTTTCTTGGTCCCCTTCTCTTTTGCAAAAGATCTGTCTCCTGGTTTCCTGTTATCTTTTATTTTGTTTTTTAATTTATCCATACTTTTTGTATAAAAGAAACCATGAGACATTTAAGCTTCAGTGTCAGGTTTACTTCATTTAACATTATGGTCTCAAGGTAACATGCGATATGTGTTACTTCTGGAAAAAGAATTCCAGAAAAATGCAAAAAAATGTCCTGTCACTATGTTGGGTGACAGAAAAAAATAATTTATTTATTTTTTATTTGTTTTATTGGGGGTACTGGGGATCGAACTCATGACCTTGCACTTGTCAGCCAGGGGCTTACACTGCTGAGCTAAATCCCTGACCCACTGTAATTTATTTTAAAGTGTTTCAACTATTATTAGGAAATAATCAAATGGGAGGTTACTCTGGTGATTTGAATAAGTTGGATGACCTTTAGAAGAGATCTACTTTAGTATTGAGAGTTGTATATGTTTCAGATGTTACTTTTAGCTGATATTCTGCTGCAAGTATATAGGTTACCTTTTTTGGTGTTTTGAGTCTGTTATGTTTGGCACTAAAGTTGAACTCAGGAAAATTCCACCTCGAATCGAAAGCACAGTCATTATGAGAAATTAATATGAAGAAATAGCCGTTGTATGGTGGTTTATTTGATTTTTTGTTATCTAAGAGAAAATTTAGATAGCAGAGATGCATTACGTAGTCTTTGGGAAAAAATTGAATTAAAAATTTCCCAATAAACGAATAAAGAACATTTGTTTGCACGTATGGTACTTACGTTGTAGAGTGATGGTGTGGGTATTTGCCTAAAATTTCCAATGTAATGTGGCGTCTATATATTTAGTATATCTGGGCTCAAAACTGAGCTGCTTATATAATATAAATTTGTCACATCTTAGCAGACTTCTTTCATTTAAATAACCATTTAAAGAATTGCAGACTAATTTAATTCTTACTACTCTCCTATCTTTGCTGTCTCTCTCCTTCATTTTTAGGGAACTATGGAATATTAGGTAAATCATTTTCTATTAGCATTTATGGATCTGAGTGTTTGAAATCGCAACAGACATCCATGTATGCTCGTGCAAAAATATTAACTGAGTTTCTTTACACAAGGAAGAGTTACACCTGAGGGCTTTTGAAGCTGATTGAGGTTACTTGATCAAGATTAGCAAGCTAACTGGAGTCATAACTGGAATGGATACAGAGCATTTATTTGCCTGTAAGGAATTTGTGTTGTAGAGTGATGGTGTGGGTATCTGCTAAAAATTTCTAATCTAACGTAGAATAGGTTTTTGATCCCATTTCAGCCCCCTCCCTGCCCCCCGCTTTCTGTAAATACTATGTTAAATTAAAGTTTTGTGTTGGTGAGAAAAGTGAATGGTGAGCAGGGGTGCAGCCTTGATTTTTCTGCAAACCTAAATCTCTAGACAGACACCTTTGGCCTCGTCACTGGTGAAACATGACTCCCACAGTGTTGGAGCGTGTTGGTGAGGCTTTGGAACCAGGTAGTCACTGCAAACTCTGATGTTCCGCCATGTGACTAGCTTGCTGAGACTCAGTTTCCTTATCTATTAAGTGGCCTTCTCCACGTGGTCTTGAGGGTGAATGGGAACTCAGGTAGGCATCTCCTCTTGTGCCCCAGTGCTCTTGGCCTTTCCCTTTGTGTTGTATTTTCATCTTACTACATCACTATTGTCCTTACAAATCCCTCTTTGCGTCCCGGTAAAGTACACATTGTAATTGTAGGCTATTTTCCTCTCTACTTAATACAACACTTTTAAAATTTATTAAGTAGCATTTTAGTCACTGGCGATGTGTCACTGGAACTAACAACAAAATATTTTTCTTGAAAGTGGTTGTGTAGATAATTTTACTTGTTGTCTCAGTTCCAAAGCTGAATATTACAGGATTGGAGCCATTATAAATCTGGGTCAGTGGTGTTCTTTCCTTAGGTTTTTGGGTAGGTGGGCATTTGACCAGGCTCTGTGTTGCATAGCAGCTTTCCTTAGGGAAAGATGTTTTGAATGCTAAGAGTATAAATGTTGCTTTGTTCTGTTTTATAGTGAAAATGCCTCGTGTCAAAGCAGCTCAAGCTGGAAGACAGGGCCCTGCAAAGAGACGTCTTGCAGAACACTTTGCAGCTGGGGAGGTAATAACTGACCTGTCAAAAAAGGAGTGGAAGCTAGGATTGCCCATTGGCCAAGGTGGCTTTGGCCGAATATATCTTGGTAAGTGTGTGACTACTTCTTCTAGTCTTCAGTCCAGAGAATTTGTGTGCCTTGTTAAAAATCTAGGTTTCCAGTTTTGTGCTATTACTAGCTGTAGCTAATAATCTGCAGTCAACCTCATCTTGTATGGTTAGGCAAAAATGCATTTCTGATTGGAGGAGAAAAGCAGATTACTCAGTTAATCATAATAGGAAAGGGGACAAAATATCTAATAATGTCACTGGTGAGTACAATGACTTTAGATTGGTAAGATTTTATGTAATTTTAACATTTTTTGGGACTCAGAAGAAGCTATGGATCTTTCTTCACCTGATTATAATTTAATCCCGTTGTTTTTAGCTTTTTTATTACAGATGTGGAATTTTTTCTTTCTCTACCACCCCCATAGTTGTTGTAGTTGGTTTAGGAGAATAACCTGGAAACTGCATACTAGGCCTAATCAAATTATCATTCATTAGCACACTTAGTTTGAAATTTTTGGAAACCCATGTAGAACCCTAAAATTCTGTAGGTTTAACTAAATTCCTGATTTAAAGAATATTTTACCTGATTGCTTGGAAAGCTGCTTCACCACGGATATTAGGAATACGTTGCTATTCATATTTGCTTCTGATACTTCCCTTTTTAATTCTGTGTTCTCACTTTACCTCTAATCTTAATTTAATTAGTTAACTATATGGTTATTTCTGGCATGGAAATTTACACAGTTTTAATTTTAGCAGTTGGTCTCTTTTTCTTTTTTTGTTTCAAGCAACATCTTACTCTGAATACTAATACTGCAGTACAGATTAGCATTACCTGGAAATTCCTTAGAAATGCAGATATTCCCCCCTCCCTGAAACCTGCGAGGAGAAACTAGGGAGAGGGCCCGCCAAGTTTGAACTGGTGTTGTAGTGACTCTGATGTGTGCTGAGGTTGAGAATCAGTGGCATAGGGTAAGGAACAGCGGTTCTAACCCTCTCCCCCCTCCCCAGCCTCTGTAACCTGCAGGCTGCGGCAGGACAGCTGCATTTTCTGAGCCTGTCATCATAAGACAGTGTAACCAAAGCAGGTGGTCACGGCTGTGATCCCAGCACTCTGGGAGGCTAAGGCTGGAGGACTGCAAGTTTGAGCCCAGCCTGGGGCAGTTTAGCTATGGAGTGCGTCAGTCTCAAGATAAAATGGGCTGGGGCTTTGGCTCAGTACCCAAGCTCTGGGCTCAGTCTGCAGTCTTACAAAACATAGAGCCAAATTCAAACCCAAAACCAAAACCACAGCTTAGTGCTTTACTCTGTCTTTACATGCATGACTTCTGTATGCAGGTAGCACTTGCGGTTATGAATACGCGTTTTATGTTATGTGGGCAAACCCATTCCAGTAAACTTAAGGTTTGTGTTGAAAAAAGTACGTTAACTAGGTATGTATTTTTGACCTTGCAACTTAGAGGAAGGTGTATATTACAGAAGTTGTCTCTACTGAAGGATGTGTGCATTTAGGACGTACTATAAGGGAACTCGGTTCTAAACCGATGTGCATCAGTTTGCTTTTATAACATTTTGCAAATTTGGAACTTGTTTTGCATGTGTATTTGCTGTTTTCCTTTCATTACTATTAACAGTTACCATCTAATAGTTTTTAATCTAACTTTTTTTAATATCCAGTGGTTTGCCGGTTCTGAATAATAAAACTTCACTCGTGGTAACATCTCTGTCCCTCTGACTACTGCTGTGTTCCTCAGCATTCCTCCGTGGCTCACTTCTCCTCTGTATTCCACGTGGTCTGGTCTCATGGTTCTGTTGCTGCTCTTTATTGTTGATTTCCATGTTTTTTATCTTTAACCTAGGGCTTAATCTCCTGTGTCCAGGTCTGTGGCCAGTGGCCTACACTGATCTCTACTGAGATATCCCACAGCCACATCTCATGTCTACCGTCTTTCATTGTTGACCTGAGCACAATTAGGAGAGGATTATCTGAATGCGGGAATATTCCCCAGTTCTTCTTCTGGTCCTGTTGCTTTCACTGTGTGACTTCTCAGATGCATCCGTTTCTCTCCGTCTGTGCCCTCCCTCCTGCAGGCTAGGTCCCTGTCCTGTCTTTTGCACTGTAACAGTGGCTCCTGCCCAGTTCTTGGCGTCACGCATCCTCACTCACACCGTGGTGTGACGGACCTAACATGAAGCCAGATCCTGTGACCATCCTGATTAAGCTTTAGGGCTCCTGCTACTCTTAAAGAACTTAAAGAATTTCAAGACTGGCAAGAACCCTCCTTTATAAGACCCTTTATGTGCCACTTCTGCTTTCATCCTTTCAACCTCAAAGTCTGTCTCAGCCATTGTGCTGCCCTTTGCCTCTTGGTCTTTACGTGATGCTTTAAAAATCTTTGTAACGATATTTATTTATTTACTTATTTATTTTTGTGGTACCGGTGATTGAACTTACGACCTCACGCTTGCCAGGCAGGCGCTTATGCCACTGAGCTAAATCCCTGGTCCTACTGTAGTGATACTTTTTACCTAATGCCTAGTATAAACTGTTTTAACATACAGTTCAACAAAATTGTGGCTAGGATATTTTACACTGTTCTTATATTAAAACTTTGAAAAAATGTAGCTGTATTGCAATATGATTGTTATACAAAACACTGTACAAATTTGCACATCAGCAAAGTACTCATTCCTCTGCGCAATGAACATTTGAATTGTTTCTGTATCTTGATCATGGTATGTAGTATGTCAGTGTACGTGGCAGTGCAGGTACCTCTTTGAGATCTTTGAGATCTTTGAGATCTTGGTTTTATGTGTTTGAATATTTATTTTTGGTACTAAGAATTAAACCCAAGACCTCATGCTTGCCAGACAGGTGCTGTACCACTGAGCTACGTACCCGGCCTGAGATCTCAGTTTTATATAGCCTTGCTGCTGCTGCTTGTGCCCAAAGCCGAGTTCAGGGCCAGTCATGTGGGAACATACTCCCCTGAGGTGTCTTTGATAATTCTTCCCATGCTGCCCTGAGATGGCTTTTCCTAATCACAGAAGAAACTGGCAGGGCACATCTCTCCCTGTTTTCCTTGTACCCGGCATGTTTTGCACCGCATGTTGTTTGAAGGAAGTTTCGAGCTTCCTCTCCCCATACTGGGATGCTGTCTTTAACCTTCGTGTTCTGTTTAAAACTCTGACTCGAGTATTCCTTATGTAGTATCTCAGTGGTGTTCCTTCGGGCTGTTGCTTGGTAGCTCAGATCCCATCACCTGCCCACATGAGCCCTTTTGATGAGTGGTGTTTCTTCTCTGGCCTGAGGGGTTTCAGCTGTAACCCTTCTGCAGACTGCTGTTTCCCAACTGACTGGTAGTTTCTTGGTTCCCATCACCTTTCTGCTACATCTCTTTGACTTCTAATGCGAGAATGCTTTGGGGCTCAGTCCTAGGTTTCTCCTTCTGCTGTCTCTTTCCTTAAGGGACCCATTTCCTGGATCTCTTCCAGTCTCAGGGTTTAGGTGAACAGCATTTCTGTTTTGATGGCCTGAAATGTGTTCTCTCCACTTGGACGAACACAAGGTTTGTATATACACCCGTATGTTTTACACCTAAACTTGATTGTTGAATAAGCACCCCAAATTTAAGACACCCTGAAGTGCTAGCTCCTCTTGCAGTTCTCTCCATGTTTGTAAATGGTTGCTTCCTCTTTCTGGCTGCTTTGGCCAAAACCAGAAAGCACTTACATCTCCTTTTTCTCCTTTCCCTCAGACCCTGTCTCAATTACTTTTCTCTTGTTGTTGAGACAAAATGCCTGATGCCCAAAATTAGGGAAAGGAAGGTCTATTTCTTACAATTTTGGAGGTTTCAGTTCATACTCAGCTGGCTCCAAGGCAGGGTGGCATGTTGGGGCTGCCTTCAAAACAGCAGGAGCCAACCACATAAAAAAAAAAACAAAAGAAACCCCTTCTTCCTGTCCTTCTGCTGTGTGTCGGCTCCGCCCGTGGGTGGGTGCAGCACTCACACCAATCCCAGCACCAGACAACAAACCAATCCCGGAAGTCAGACTCAGCTGAGTCCATAATTGCATGAGACTTGGGGGGTGGGGTGGCGGTGGTGGCTGTGGGAGGTGGGACCAAACACAAACCTTAGCAGACCCTGACCTCTGATCCCACAGTGGATCCCGTTGGCTCCTTTGCATGTAAGTGGTCATGGTCTGGCCCCCTGTCTGCTCCTAGGCCGTCACCTGGGTTCCCGTTGGGAGTCCTCCCTGGCCTTCTCACTTCTGGTCTTCTATCCGTGCCCCCTGTATGCCGCTCTCCAAAAGCAGCTAAAGAAAGTTTTGAAAATCAGGTCCTAGTCTTGCTCCTCTCAGAACCTTCTGGAGGCCCCCCCCCCGCCATTTTAGTGAAAGTCAGTCCCTTGATGTCGCTGTCTAGTCCCTCTAGTTTGATCATGTCACATTCTCTCCTCCAGCTACTTTGACCTGCTGTCTTTCCAGATGTTCCAGCATGTCCCACTTCAGGGCCTTTGTGCAGTCTGTCTATAGCGTGCTGTCCTGTTGTCGCTGGTATATGCCCTTACTGCCTGGAGGCTGCCCTTGGGTGACCCGTGTCTGCGGGGTCTCTTCCTGCACCCAAACACTGCGGCCTGCCTTTCCTACTGACTGGTCCCTCTACCCCTCTTAATCACCTTCGGACACACTTTGTGTGTGTGTTCACACTCAACCAGCAGTTTCCTAAGAGTGAGGATTGTCCTTTGCTGTCTCCTGCTAAATTGTTCATTCCTCGAAACCGGCACTCGCAGCTCTTTGGTGAGTGTTAGTTAGTGAATCCGGGCGGCCTTAGAGTCCTAACCCAGCATTCCAGGCAGCGGAGCCTCTTCATTTGTCTGAAGTGAAAAACATCAACTTAAAATTGTTCTGGATGGCAGTTGAAAATTCTAGTGCCAAGGTCCCGAGATACTGATGTGGGGGAGTTTTTCCAAACTATTGTTTTTTTGGAACTTGAGCTTTTTTCTTACCTGTAGCTGTTCTTTCTTAATAGGATTTATTTGTTAAATTTGTATCAGTTCCCTTCTGGGAAATTCACAATATGGATCAGGCTATTAAACACCATCGGAACTTCTCTGTTAAGTATTTAACTGTGTTTAACTTGGGGTATCCTGTAATCAGTGAACAGTGAAGAAACCAGAAAATGTAAGATCCGTTAAAATTGATGAAATATTCTATAGTGGTAGGCAGAAACACATACCTGGGAATTGAATTCATCAGGCGCTACAGATGTAACAATCTAAATACTACTGTAGTATTTATAATGCTGTGCATTCTGATACTGTGTTTCACTTTTTAAACAGCTGATACAAATTCTTCAAAATCGGTTGGCAGTGATGCACCCTGTGTTGCAAAAGTGGTAAGAAAATATTTCAGATAATTTTTCTTTTCTCATCAGAAGTTAATATAGTATTTATTTTGTAAAACATCCTTTTTGTTAACTAGAATTAATTAAACCATAAGGTATTACATTTTTAATAGTTTCATAAATATTTAATCTGACTCAAAAGTAGCTTTATGGTTTTAAAGAACTCGAGTTCACCAAGTCCCTGCCTTCCTCGGCCTTGGCACAGCGCTGCTGTGTGGGCAGAGTGCGTGGACGTGCAGGAACAGTGTGGGTGTGAAGGAAACCCGCAGCGCAGTCTTTTCCCTGCAGCTGTTTAGATGAGGTGCTTTTAAGATTTACATCTTGCAAGCCTATGTGCTAGCGTGATTAACTTTGATTTTGCATTTAGCTCTGAACTTCCACTTGCTCAACTTTTTTCTTTTTGCCTATTCCCAGTTTTCTTGCCTTCCCCATCCATCGTAGTAAATTGAACTGTTTGATTATGCTTGTTGGACCTTTGCTATACTCATGTTGAAATCAGTTTATAATGAGTGAAGGTTGATAACATCCTATCTGACATAAACAGTTGGAAGAGCCAGGTCAGTTTCTAGATGAGTGAACCAAAATACTCATTTTTACTATTATTTTTGTTTTTAAATCAATTATGCATCTTTTTCCTTACCAACATCCGTTATCTCCCTGTGGCCTTTAAGTTAAACTCGCTGCCTCCCCACGTTTTGTTTTTGTTTTTTCTGGAGGATATTACTCCTCAGTGGGACTGTGCCATACCAGCAAACTGCGTGTGCTCAGCATGCAGTTAAAGGGTTACCTGTACTGTTGCCGTAGCCGTCGTTTCATTTTATTGCTTTGTTGATAGACGTCGGGGTTATTTTCAGTTTGGGCTCTTCAGAATTTCTATAAACATTCTTGTACAAGTGTTTTTGTAGGCTTTAATTCTCTTGGCTAAGGACCCAAGAACTTGCTGTTTTAGAGAAGATGTAGATCTAAATTTGTAAGAAGGTGCTGGACAGGTTCCCAAGGTGCCCGTGCTGTTTCACGTCCACCAGTAATGCGTGAGGGTTGATTGTCCGGGTCTCGCTGCTGGGCCGCCTTCGGCAGGTGGTGTGTTTGTTGGCTTTAGTGATCGTATTGGGCATGCAGCATTATCTCACTTCATTTTGCAATGACTTGGTGACTAATAATTTTGAGCACATTTTCAGGGTGTGTGTGTGCGTGTGTGTGTGTATAATACTTGCTCAATCTGTTGTCTCTTTTTTCCTTTTAAGTTTAAAAAAATAGCTGGATGGCACCAGCTTTCACAATTGAGTAGTAAGACAGTTGTTCTTCTCAGGTACATGTGCTGTAAGTATTTCACCTGCTTAAAAGTTTGTCCATTTTCTCAGTGCTTTTTATATGTTTGGAGGTGGATCCTAAGATCCTTCTCTATTCTCATTAGTGTGGCAGATGGATTGATTGGTATTTGTAAACCACCCCCCACCTCCCAATCAAGTTTTGTTAGGTTGTATGAGCTGAAATTGCTTTGCTAATGTTTTGTTATGGATTTTTGTGCCTTGTTTGTGCCTTGTTTAGGATTTTTCTCTTCTCGAGATTGGGCTTCCCATTGGGATTGCATCGGTGAACCCCGCCTCCTATTCCTAGTGCCTGCAGGAAAAAGCTGGTGTCTGGGCACCCTCTGTTGCCTCTGTCGGAGGTCGCAGTCTTGAACTGCCTGTTGTCTGGTGTTTGAAAATAAAAGTATCTTATTTTTTGTCCATATTTATATTGGTTTAAACTCTGTAGTTGTGCTACAGGTTCGTTGTGCTGGGACACGGAAATAAAGATTTTAAAGTTTGATGTCAGTGCTTGTCTCCTGTCCTGTTGTATCTGTCCCCCTGCCCCTTTCTTCTCTTTCTTGTAGTATTGAGGGTTGTAGCTCAGGCCCTGTGCACGCTCAGCAAACACTCTGCCACAGAGCTACAGCCTGGGCCCTTTTTAAAATTTCCAGACAGGGTCTTGCTAAGTTGCCCAGGCTGGCCTTGAACTTGTGGTGCTCCTCTCCCTCTGCTTTCCTGAAGAGCTGGGATCACAGGCACGGAGCTGGGATCGCCATGCCCAGCTGTTTCCCTTTTCTCCATACTCTTTCATTCTGGGTTTTTTCTTTCTCATTTCATAATAACATTCCTTTTGAACTATTCAGCTTGCTGTTAAGTCAGAGAAGCTAATGTTCTTAGGGTGAAATTAGACCATGTATGTAGGAGCTTGGAACTGTAAATGAGCAGCCAGCCAGCTCAGGCCTGTGCAGCCACCGCCTAGGTTACACAGCAGCTCTGTTGACAAGGTGTGCCCTGGAACTCTCCTCGCACCCCGCAGCAGAGGGGTCCGAGTAACTGGGTCACCTGGACCTCAAACTCGGAAGTCATAAGGGGATTAAAGGGGCTTGCTTCCTTCTCACAGTGGAAAGCTTCTGAAACTTCTAAGAAGAAATTAATCTTGCCCATTTTTTATATTTAGAAAGGGTCTTTGTAAGTTGCTAAGTGTCCAGGGTGGTCTTGAACTTGAGACCTTTCTTCCTCGGCCTCCCAGAATGCTTTTTTACAGGCTCATGCTTCTACTCCTGGCTCGGAGCTTCCTTTAAGTTACATTTCATCTTACGATATTCTTCTTTCATTGATACTCTTTCTTTCAATTAGAGGTATTTCAAGTATTTTTTCAGTGAGATTTTACTTTCCCTGCCTTTTTTACTTAACTAAAAAAAAAATGGGTAGAAAGGGGAGCTGTGACGGCTTCTGTGTGTCTCCTGTCTTAGTTTTGCTCCGTTCCCGTTGTCCTTCATCACTCCGTCTTTGTGTTAGGACAGTGATGTCCAGGTGACTGCGCGTGTGCACTCGGTGTTTCAGTCACTCAGCTTTGTAGCTGTGACCCTGAAGAGTGATGTAACCTGGCAGTGTTGCCACTCTCCCTTTGCCAGAGAAGTTCAGTAACGGCTGGCTGCTTTTCTCATACCTCCGCTTCCCGGACTTCTAAACTTCTACCTCACTCATTGTCAATAATTATTTACAGTCTTACTTCTAATGCTCTTTCATGCCACTGGTTGTTTGTAGTTTTTATGTGTTTATCTAACTGTGTCTTAAGCTTTTTGGTAAGGACCTTGTCTTAAGCTTTCTTTGTGTGGTCCTTAGATGTTGTTTATCCTTATAAATACGTTCGGCCCTAACTGTGCACCATCTTTCTGCTGTTCTTTGCACGCCTGTATTCTCGGCTGCCCGCTGCCGTTCCCTTTGCCCTCCTGAGAGCAGGCCTTTGTGTAATTTACCGTCTATAGCTTCACAGTACTCACAGTTGACATGGTTCATCTAACAGAAACTTGTAAAATGAATGTCAGATCTTTCTGCTATGAAAATCAGAGCTGTGTGTTGAACATTTGTTATTTGAATACTAAAGGCTTTTAAAGATCTGTTTTTATTTTTATTACTTTGTGTGGCAGTGCTGGAAATCAGCTGCAGTCCTTCATGATAAGCCACAGAGTACACCTCCAGCCCAGAGACCAGTTTTCAAAGAACATGTACTGCTTGTTGGGGAAATCTCATAATTCATTATTTAAAAAGGGGCACCTGCTGTGTATGTAGTATGAAGATATTTTATAAATGGCTATATATGAAGAACATATATCAAAATGTTTCCAAATCTTCAGAAATGAGTATGTATTTTACCTTGAGAGAAAAAAATAATCAGAGATGTTATTTAAGAAATAAAGACACTGATTTTTATTCTGAAATCAGACTTACTGTAGTAGACTGTCAGGCAGTGACTTTCCATCCTGAGTGTACAGTGCTGTTAGAGTCTCTGGGTGTAGGGCCTGGGCTCCCCACTTGTTTATTTTGGCATCAAGGTTGAGAAAGACTGTGGAATCTGCCATGCAGCGCCCCGTAGTTGTTTTAAAGAGAATCATGTGTGCACGCACATTTGTGACCTTCAGCTCGGACTTGCTGGGTGCCCTGTCCGGCATGGACTTTCCACCTTCACGTGGACGACGCGGCAGAAACTTTGGTTGGGCTTGTTGTGTCTGCTCTGCAGAAGAGCTGTAACCTCCGGGCTCCCTGCACTGCAAGTGTGGCAAAGTGAAGATGTGCGTGTCCAGCACAGTTGTCGAGGCACAGGCGGGAACATTCTCTGTCCACCTAGCTGTGGGTGCTTTTTGTCTGGGGCCTTAATCTTTGGCTCGCAGAAGCAGCACTGGGACACGAATGCTGGTCATCGGGGATGGTGAATGGGATTCTTTGGTTCTAGATAACGGATACTGAATTTTGTTTCAGGAGAGGTGAAAGAAAAAATAGGTAATGTAAGGAGAAAAAGTTCTCTTGCACTTGCTCTCTCTTTTGCTAACACTTAAGACTTAAAAAAAAATCAGTTTTTCACCTGAGTACTGTGGTTCAGGCTTGTATTCCCAGCTAATGCAGGAGGCTGAGACCGGAGAATTATGAGTCGGAGGCCAGCCTGGGCAGTAGAGTAAGACCCTATTTAAAAGAAAATGGAATCCTCTGAGCTGTGCTCACCTTTGCAGGCATGTCGGTAGCAGGCCTGGAGGTGAAGGTTGGGCCTTTGGCCTGTGTAACCCCGCTGCCACTGCATCGTGGTCGTTTTCTGGAGTGAATGAATAGAAATGTGTATTTCTGAGTTCCCTGGAAAGGAGTTTGCAGACTGATGTTTGATTTTCCTTGCTGCTGTTATGAGAAGTGACCTGAATTTTTAATTCATATATCATAATTCTTTGGTAGGAAGAAGAAACTTTATACAACTTCATTTTTAAATGGCAGCTAGTTGCTTTTAGATGGTGCCATTGAAATATATCACATTTTAATTTTTTTCTGTTGTCATCTTCATTTTGACACTTAGAAGTCTTAAAGAAACGTTTAGTGATATTCTAGTTAAAATGTCAGTCCCAATTTCTTTTCTGAATCTTGGCTATTATAGAGTTGGCAAAGTATTTTAGATTTGAAATATGTTAATAAAATTTTAGTATGAGTTAAGGTATTTTCTTCAACAGAAATAGCTCGCTTTGGCTAGAGCACAGTGCCAAGGAAGTAGCTCCTTTATTTTGTTATAATGGAAGCTTATTGGATTAGAAAAAGTCTGAAATGAGCTCAAAGAGCCTTCATTGTAGTGTGGCTTTCATTATAATGGCCTGATTTATATGGTTGATTCTCATTATTATAAGTTTAATAAATTATTGCCTGAAGGAAAACTTGAAAATTAAAGTTGATATGACATAGGTTGAAACTGAATATAATCAGAATTTTATACTGAGAGTAATAAGCTAGGATTTGTCTTAGGAAAACTTTCAGACCTGAATGGAAATGAACCCGAATTCCTTCTCTTTAATGTCTTTTATACATTGCCTCCACTGATTCTGTGTCACTAACTGAAGGGGTCACAGCTGTCTGTCTCTCCCCTGCTGCTAGGAGAGAACCCAGCTTCTGAAGAGGCTCGAGGGGCTGAGCACACAAACTACAAGTTTGGCACAGGTGTGGCAGCCTGTGATTGGTTCCTGGTTCCTAAGGTGTTCATGACCTGCCAGGCCTACAATGTCCCTCTTCCCAGACTGGGCGCGAAGTGTTCCTACCTGTGACAGGCGCGGCAGGCGTCCCGTGAGATGCGGCTTGCCCGTTTGCGGTTTCAGTGCTCATTCATACTGAGTGCTGCTTAGCTCCGCACGTTGGCAAAGCTTCCTGGGAGCACTTTCACTGGGTGTACCTATTTTTTGAATTGCAAAACATCAGAGCTAGTGGAACTGTATATATAAAGTGGTTTTATTTAAACCTCAAGGAGCAAAATTAACTTTGTGGCAGTTGAGAGTTTCTGCATCCGGGAAAAAAAAAAAACCTGAACATATTTTAAGTATTTGCCAAAGACATCTCTAGCAGCCAAAAAGTACATATTTTCACAAATTTTCTCTCAGTTAAAGTAATAGCCCTCATCTATCAGTTCTCTTAATGCTTTATTGAACCTTGAATTCCAGGTATTCCATCCAAAATAATCTTTTTGCCAAACCTTCTAAAAGTAAAGCAATTCTCAAATTAGTTGAGAAATATTTTCTTCCTAACTTGAAGTTTTTACTCCTTTTAAATGTTTTTCCTTAGATTCTTGTGTGTGTGTGTATGTATGTGTGTGTGTGTGTGTGTGTGTGTGTGTGTGTGTGAGAGAGAGAGAAAGAGAGAGAGAGAGAGAGAGAGAGAGAGAGAGAGAGAGAGAGAGACAGGGTCTTGCTGTGCACTTTAGTATGGCCTTGCGTGCACTTTGTAGCCCAGGCAGGTCTCAAATTTAAAACTACCCTCATGCCCCAGCCTCCCAAGTGCTAGGGTTGCAGCCGTGTACCACCATGCCTGGCTTCTCCATCAGATTGTTAATAAACATGATAATCACCAACACAACATTCCCAACCTAATACTACTGATTAATATTAGGCAACATTCTTTATTGGAAGAGCCCACAAAATTGTAAGGTCTTTTTCATTTTTCTGTACTTATTTAACAAGGCAGAATTCCTTACTGGTTGTTGTTTCTTAGTGTGCAAATACTTTTTTGTGAATGTTTGCCTCTTTAAAAATATTTTTAACTTTCAGCATTGCTTAAAATGTAAAATTAATGCAGTCCGGAAAGGTTAGTAGGAAGCAGTTGCCATGTGAAGCGGTGCTTGCTTTTTGGCCATAAGTTGTCATGTGGGAAATGGGCCTTGGGTTGTGACCCGTGGGCATCGATGCCAGGAAAGAAGGGACTGTGGACTGTGCGTGAACTTGGGAGATCCCGAATATGCGAGGTCTGTTTTTGCCGTCCTGACACGCTAGATAGGGCTGTAATCAGAGACAGGACAGGGGTGGATTTTTGCCACTAATGGGTTAAATCAGGCATTGAACTTTTATTAAATCTCAGAAATATCTTGTAGCCCTTCGTGATACAGTTAACATGGTTCTCTTTTTTGCTTAAGGGAGAGCTTAATAAAGATGAAAATTGGTTGAAAGGTTTTTCTTAAACTTCTTTGCAGACTGAGCTGTATATCTGATTTTATATAATTTATCACTTAGGAAAATGGAACATGAAAGAAATATAAGACTTATGGACTTATCGGAGAATATCTGAAGCATTTCTGAAGATTTGAACTTTAAACAGTTAGAAATTTAAGTAAAAAAGTACAACTTTTGGAAACAACGTTAATTAAAATCTGTTTGGAAGTTGCAATTAGAATAACTTGGGATTTAACTAGTGCTGGTACTGACTAACTCTTGTGTTTTAAGGAACCCAGTGACAATGGCCCTCTTTTTACTGAATTAAAGTTCTACCAGAGAGCTGCTAAACCAGAGCAAAGTAAGAAATACAGTTCACATGTTTATATTTTTAAATTACTAGTTTTATTTTTCTTTATTTTGGGGGCATAAGGGTAAGAGCATTACATTTCGCTAGAGCATTACATCTCTTTTTTTTTTAGAGAGCATTACATCTTAAGAGACTTGTTTTTCTTGGCTTTATAAATATACTTCATTTAAATGAGATGAGAAATCTGATTTCTTGTTAAAAGACTTTGCCTACATCAGTATATAGTATAAAGGTAATAAATGATACATGATTTAGGAAATGTTATTAAAAATTGAGAACCTTAATCTGAGAGGTGACTCAGGACTCTCCAGATTTTTTGAGTACTTTCCTAAGTTTTGGAGAGCACGGCCTGGTGAGCGGGGAGCAGGAACAGAGAGGGGGACACAGAACAGATGCTGTGGTCCCCTCCCATCCTTCCTTCCAAGTTCCCAGACTTCCAGTGGGAGGGGAGAAAAGCTTCATCTTGCTGAGGTCTTGATTTGTGGTTGAAGAAAATATTTTAAGGTTGAAGAGAAGACAATCCATCCTTAGAGACTGGACTCAAAAAAGTCTTATTAGCTAGGCATGGTGGTGCATGTCTGTAATCCAGCACTTGGGAGGCTGAGGTAGGAGGATCGTGTGAGTTTGAGGCCAGCCTGGGCCTCGTGAGCAAGTTCAAGGACAGCTGGGACTACGGAGCGAGATTCTGTCTCAAAAAATGAAACAAAACAAAGCAAAAAATCTTCCTGTGGAAACAGGTGGTCATTTTCATGATTAGAGATTAACTGCGGTTGCAGTACCATGGTTTTGGATTTTTAAAAGCAGTGTTAAAGGTGGGGTAATAATTTTGTAGGTTAACAAAAAGGCTTTGAATGTAAAGTGTTTTTTGTCCTTATTGATCATATTGTGTTCTTCCTGTTTTATGAGTAAAGGTGAAATCTTGTTACATTTATAAACACATTTTGCACTTAATGAATGGTTTTTAGAATTTTTAACTCTGCATAGCAGTTGAAGTCACAAGCATCTGTTTTAACTTACAGTTCAGAAATGGATTCATACCCATAAACTGAAGTATCTTGGTGTTCCTAAGTATTGGGGATCTGGACTGCATGATAAAAATGGAAACAGGTAAAACTGCATGGTCTGTCTTTTCCTTTTTCTGAGCATTTGTCATCAAACTGGTTTAGCTAAGAGTCATTCAGTGAGTGCCCAGAATACCAGCCGATCTGCAGCCTGCTCTGTGGAGTGAGGTGAACAGATAGGACGTCATCCTGCCTCTGCTTTGCCCAGCTGCAGCCTCATGCCCTTAGCATGCGGGAAGCAGCAGCCACCGACTGGACCCAGGTGACAAATAGACAAAGCCCAAAAGGGCCCTATGTGTTTTTTGTTTTGTCCCTGAAACATACCATATCTCCTTTATACAGAAGAGAATCCTTAGGGTTCTATTTGGTACTTAATAATAACTAATTTGCCCATGAAATTAGAATTGTTTTCTTCTTTCTTTTTCCTTCTTCTTCTTCTTCTTTTTTTGATCTTTTTAAGGCAGGGTTTCTCTAGGCAGTTCATGCTGGCCTTAAACTCACTATAGCCCAGGCTGGCCTTGAACTCACAGTGATGCTCCTGCCTCAGGCTCCCAAGTGCTAGGATTACAGGTGTGCGTCACCATACCTGGCTTAGAGTTCTTCTCTTTGTAAAGGTTTCAGCATAGCTGAACAGAGAAAGCACACACACGAGAAACATTTAGAGGACAGTTAAGTGCCAAATTGTAAGCTTTTTGACCCTTGGATGTTAGGAATTGAGAGAATAGAGAGGACAGTGTTGGCCTAGTTGAAGTGGCGAAAACCCCCATACCTTGGTGCATAATCGATAGCTTTTCAGTGTTTGAATGAATGACGGGAACTGCATGCAGGGAGGCTGAGTTGGGACCGGAGGTGCATAGGTTAGAGTGCTTTTGGTTGCAAGCCCAGGAAAACCCGAGTCAGCCTTCGTCAGCAGTCAGCAGGGCGCGGGGCCCTGGTGTGGTGCTTTTGGCCAGTCCCATCTGTGTTCCCTGTGAGTGGGCACTGCATGTTACGGTTTCACTGAGGCTGCCACATTGCTAGGCTTCACACACAGACGTCGGCAGAAAGCAGTGCTGCTGCGGCCGGACCTCCCCTGCCTGGCCAGGGCAGCTGCCCCAGGGCACCATGGCACACTTCCTCTTTCGTTTTCTGGGGCACACTTTGTGCTCGTAAATGGGTCACTGGCAGGAGCGAAGCAGTCGCAGTGAGTGACTTAGAGAACCCACGCTAGCCCACAGGGAGGGTGGAGCTCTGTCTAAAACATGGGGTGAGGGAGGGGGTGCTGGCTGGCTGGGCGGCCACATCATGCAACCTGCTCGTCTCCATTGGAACGGAGGGACTCCTAGGAATTGCAGTCACTTGGGTGATGCCCAATTTTGCCAGAGCATTTTTGCTGTGAGCTGAGCAGATCTTGAGAAAGCAGCTGACCTCGACTGTCTTGCAGGGGCACTGTAGCGCCTCAGAGGCCCGGGGCACCAGGGCACAGCCTTGTCCTCTCCACCCCTGCAGTGCGCCCTCCCCTCTCTGCCCAGATCTGCTGAGTCCGAGGTGCTAGGTCTGTCCTGCGAGGGGGCATGAGAGAGGTTGGTTCACTGTTCAGTTTGCGGCCCCTAAGAATAACAATGATACAATTTCTACAAGTAAAGAAATAGTAGCATTATTCTTCACGCCTTCCCCTTGCAAACATCCCTAGTTTTCACTAACTCATTTGAATATATATATATTTTTCTGTAATTTATATATATATATATTTATATTACTTAGAACAGCATGAGCACTTAGAACAGTAAAATGTTAGCTGCTTCTGAGATCATTTGTGCTGATTTATATTTCCCCATTCCTTGAACTGTTTTATCCAAGTCCCTACAACAATACGTATCCAAGTGTTAGAGGAGTCAATCAGAAACAACCTTCAGTCCTCAGTGATGGATGTCTCTCCATGCTGTGTATGGTCTCATGTTTTAGTTGGCAGTTACAGTTTAGTTAGGAGATTAAAGGGTTGTTTTAGGGTAGGAGTGGGGTGATCTATGAATACAAAGACCCAGCTAATATAATTTTTAACAGATCTGATGTTGAAGCAAGCCGTTTTGTTTTAACTGTTTGATGATGTCAGCAGAGATTATATTTTTTGTTACTCAGATACTGTTATAGTAAGTGCACATCATTTGCTTGTAAAAGCAAACATGTATGTATGTCCTGGTGTCCTCTGTCCAGACCTTTCAAAACCTGTTATACACAAGAAATGAGGAAGTCAAGATTACTAGTCTCTTTATATTTTAGAGGTTGCTACCAGGAGCTCTGACATAAATGAGTATATTTGCCACTAATTGTATGACTTTTAACAAGTTGCTTTGCCTTTATAAATGTTATTTTATTTATTAAAAGATGTGTAGACAAGAGGAACTCTAATTCTCTTCAGTCAAAAAAGGGGTAGAAGGTTTTTTTGACAAATCATCTTTGTGTGTTAACTCTTTCTTTCCTGTTAACCTTGCCGTAGTTTATTTTTATGATGGAGCCCTGATATAAGTGAGATTTTCGTATCCTGTGACATTTATTTCAGTGTATGTAGTTCTGTGGTTAGAAGCATGGTCCCACCACTCACAAGAAGGCACATTCCTTACGGTTTTCTGCTGCTGGGAGCAGGGATGGTGGTGTGAGGAGGAACCGCAGACCCCATCCAGGGCCTCAGGGCGCTGTGTGCGGGCAGGTTCTGGGGAAGCTGCCTGCTGCGAGGGTGGTCAGCGCACACAGCTAGGTCTGGTGGAATGTGCCGCACACATTTTCAGCATGGGCTTGGTTTTTGTCAATGATTTGACAAAATCATTTAATGATTTAAGTCTTTTAATGATTTAACATGAGTTGGAATTTGGAAAACTGTTGAAGTTGAACGTGATCCTCAGAGGACAAGCTGAACGGTGTTTCCTGCAAGTCAGCGGTGGTGCTTCTCAGTACAGGATCTTGGGATTGGAGAGCAGGGAAGAGCGCAGAAAGGGCCGGCGCCGCTGCTGCCTCATTTACTCGTGTGGAAATCGTGCCACTTGGCGAAGGTGACATAGCTAGTTTGTGACAAAAGCAGAACTCTTCACAGTTTTCCGGGTGTTTATTCTTCCTCAGATCTTGGCCATTAAATAGTTAGTGCACCAGCCTTTTATCATTTTTAAGCATTTTGTTAAGTAGCATTGCACAAAATGCTGTTTAACATCTCCTGACAGTCTTAATTTTTAATGGAATGTTGGTTCTGTTGAATTGTGCCTTAAATAGGCCTACTCAGGGAAGTTAGCATCCAGAAACGTACATCAGCTTTTACTACTAGATAAGTCAGTGTCTCATTCTTAATCAGATTTATTTTTTGTTAGAAATGAGTCTTTTAGACTCTGGGTCGGCATTCTCTTAGAACTGTGTGTTGCCCACCATAACTAGCCAAGACCAGGAGGCCTGGTAGCTAAAGGGCAGGGCCGGAAAGCACTGAATTCTTGAGGGTTCTGTTTGGAAGAAATTGTTCCAAATGTCTGTGTCTCTGTCTGTCTCTGTCTGTCTGTCTGTCTCAGAATACTGTCTTATTAAACAAATGCCTTGAAAAACATTACTGTGGAAGGAGTGTGATCTTAGCCAAGCAGGTTTTCCTGAGGTACATTTTTTTCATTGACTTTTCTTGTTTGTCTTCAGTTACAGGTTTATGATAATAGATCGCTTTGGGAGTGACCTTCAGAAAATATACGAAGCAAATGCCAAAAGGTTTTCTCGGAAAACTGTCTTGCAGCTAAGCTTAAGAATTGTATGTGAGCCACATTTTCCTTATCTTTTAAATACTGTTTCTACAGTAAAGGCGGCTTGTGTTGAAGCTCGGTCCTCTGCTGGCTGGTACGCTGTACTGCACTGACTTTGCTTTGTGATGCTTTCCTAGCTGGATATTCTGGAATACATCCACGAGCATGAGTACGTGCATGGGGATATCAAGGCCTCAAATCTGCTTCTGAGCTACAAGAACCCTGACCAGGTAGTTCCAGAGCTTTAGTTCTGCGCTTTAAAACGCATCATTTGAAAACAGATACGGTTGCTTTGAACTCTTGAACCTACTCAGAAGTTTTACTTTTTGAAGTAGATATGGTAATAACAATATTTCTTTTTGACACTTTTATCTAGTTAACGTTCTAAATTTTTGATGCAATTTGTTGGCACTTTATCAAGTTGGCTATTTTGCCCTAAATAATATTCAGAAGAAGTGCTTGTGATACAAAATGAATTTCAAATAGCTGTTTGGGGGTGGAAGCTTAAAATTATATAGTACACCAATGAATTATGTTTGCCTGTCTGCTTTGTCACTTTTTTTTATTTCCTTTGTTCAAGAAATCCATCAAATGTAAGTGTTCTGTTACTTGGAAAATTTGGTCTTTAACATGTTGATTATTCAAATCAATTGGTTTACAGAAATATCTGAGCTGTCTAAATTTGTATACCCATAGTGTTTGGAATTCAAATGTGCATTTTTTACTTTATTACATTCTCTTTGTAAGTTTTACTTCGTTTAAGGGGAGAAAAAAAGCTAAGGTTATTTTATTTCGTTGGGTCAGTTGGAGTAGACAGATATATATAATTTTCTTGTAACTGTTTCATGATTTTGATAAAAATTAGGTTTAGTTGGTACTCGTGGTTAGCCCTGCACTGAATACATAGGCTGACTTCATACTTGATCTTTTCAGAAAGGGACATTTAAATATTTCAAACGCGTTGGCTACTCTGATAATTATGCGGTTATTTGCTGCTCCTCTGCGTGTGGCTTCTCTCAGAGCTGCCTTACCTGTGGTTTAGTCCTCCTTCTCTGGGCCCTTCCTGTCATCCCGTGTGACCCCTCGTCTCTCTCCTTCAGCGGGGTGCACATGCGGGTCTCCAGGGTACGCTCACAGAAGAGAAGCTGCCGCCCCTTCGAGCTGGTGGGCAGGTCTTAGGCCGGCACAGGGCCCGCTGCAGCTTCCCCAGACATCTTGTTACCGATGTTCCTCTGTGCTCAAGAACTTGGACAGCAACAAAACTACCACTCGTGTCGTTGGCACAGGGTTAGAACACGGTGCTTTGGTTACATGGAAATGTTCTGCAGCTCTCTTACCTTCCCGGGCATTTGCTTCAGATGGGTTTGCTCTGCTAGTATTCGGCCCATCGTGTGTTGTGTTTCACTTGCCTCTGGTGCCCACATGCATGCAGGGGGTGACCGAGGAACGTAAGAAAGCCTAAGGATGATGTGATTGATCGGCCCACTTCTAAGAGCACGGATGTGTGAGTGCGTAGTAGTCACTCGGCCTTTATTTCCAAAGGTTAACATTAATGTGTAGTATTTAAATGTAGACGAGCGATTCATTTAAAAGTTCTCCCAATCATTATTAAACTCTTTGAAGTATTTTTATTATGTAATTGGGCATTCAATTATCTTATTAAGTGAAGAAGCGGGAATAGAACAGTCACATTGCTGTCGTCTGTGTCAGCATTTCGACGCTCAGTGCTCTCCTTTGTGGAGAATGTCAGTGGTCGTACAACTGGTGTGGACAGTTTGTTTTATGCTCAGTTTTATTTTAAACTATAAAAAAAGTGGAAGATTTAAAAGCCTTGCTCACACTGAGGAGGAAGGATTCATTACAAGTTTAGGACACACTTGCCTGAAAAAGTGTGTAAAGTCAAGTGAGGGTCTCTGGCCTCTGGCAACCCGGTTAGTTAACACGTTTGTTACAAGCGGAGTGTAGCTCAGAGTGTGGAGCTTGCCCAGGGTTTAGTCACCAGCACTGATGGGGAAGGGAGGGAAGGAGGGAATGGGAGAAAGGGCCGGAGGAGCATGGGATCTTTAAAAAGTAGTCAGTTTCCGAAGTTTGCTTTTGTGTGCATTTTGGATCTAACTACGTTCTGTCTTTGTAGGTGAAGCAACTCTCAGACGATATTACTTGACTTTTAAAGTAGTATATGCAGTGATTTCACCTTTAATTCTCCTGCATGCCTGGACATTTGTAGGTATATTTGGTAGATTATGGCCTTGCTTATCGGTACTGCCCAGAAGGAGTTCATAGAGAATATAAAGAGGATCCCAAAAGATGTCACGATGGCACTATTGAGTTCACCAGCATTGACGCACACCATGGCGTGGGTATGTCGTCCCCTCTGGAGTGAGCTGTGCTGCTAATACCTTAGCAGGATTCCTGTGCGCTTCTTAATTGTGCATAAATAAATAACAGAAAAGGGCAGAGGGTGAGCTCCAGGAGGGAGCCTCGTGTGTTTTCTGTCCTCTGCCTCCTCTCGCCCTTCAGAGAGAGCCAGGAAGGTTTAGTGGTGGGGCGTTTTACTCCCCTGCGGTGAGACTTCTTCGGGGTTGTATATTGCTTGCTTGGAATATTGGTTAGTTTCTGTTTCTGTTTTTTAGACTGTAAGCTTCTCGTGTAGTACACCTTTATAGCAGGTAGCTTTTATTTTGTTACCTACTAGGACAGCTTATTTCTCAATCAGTCATGCCTTATTTTCTTTCCCGAAACTATGGAAGATCTGAAACACCCAGAACCCTTCTAGTGGTAATAACACTTTTAACATCTTCATGTTTTCCAAAGACAGTATTAAATGTGTCATGGTTTTATAGTTTATTTCCTAGAGTGATTGTCCGAGTCTAAACTCTTAAAGTTTACCGATTTAGATTTTAAAGTAAGTTATTAATAGGAAATAAAACGTTTTATATTACTCAGTGTTGAATACGTGTTTGATTACACGAATCAGGATGTGATGAGAGCAGGCCTCGGCGCTGTTCCGTGAGCGCCCGAGAGCGTGCCTCACCAGTCGGTTTGGGTGCTGACTTCCTCCTCCTGTGTCGCAGCGCCCTCGAGACGTGGTGATTTGGAAATACTCGGCTACTGCATGATCCAGTGGCTCAGTGGCCATCTTCCCTGGGAGGATAACTTGAAGGATCCAAACTATGTTAGAGATTCCAAAATTAGGTAAAGGACAACTTGAATTATTTATAGTGAAATCGTGAGAGGTGGCTGTTTTCAGCTGGACCTTAATAGGTGGGGCCGGGGATGCAGCTCGGAGCACAGCACCAAGCGCAAGGTCCTGAGTTCAGCCCTAGGACAGACGAAAAGAGCTCGCTGGAACTCCAGTGTCCAGTGGGGCTGCCGTGCAGGAAGGGAGCGCGCACTCAGCGGCCAGGACTGGCCTTTAGTGGGTTGAACACAGTGTTGCCTAATGTACCATTCCTTGTTTCTAAGTATTAATACCCTCTAATATCAAACTTTAAATGACTCATTGTTTAATGTTTTAACAGATATAGAGATAATATTGCAAGTTTGATGGAAAAATGTTTTCCTGAGAAAAATAAGCCAGGTAAGAATAACTTTTTAAAAGTTCATAGGGATTTTATTTTCTGAGAGGAAAAAGACTTGATGTCCGTGAAATTCCCCTTACTTGAGAGCCTCGGCATTTTAAAGTGTAATTAGTGTATTCTCATTAAAAGAACGCACACCTCTCCAGAGGTGAATGGTTAACACATATTCCAGCCTCTTTCAGTTGTTTAGTGCTTTCAGCGTAGGAAGCAGATTTCGGGCCCACGTCCAGCGGGTGTTTACTGAGGCTGGACAGTGCCCGAGGACTGGCGTGGCCGTAGGAGTGCATCAGCGAAGGAAGCTGACATCCCAGAGGAGAGGGGCAGGAAAGAAAGGAACGAGTGGATTTTGCGGTGGCTTAGGTCGTTGCTGCTGTGAAGTGAGAACGCAGGCACAGGGTCGGGCTGGGTGTGCGGGTGGGGAGGCTTTCCACAGAGTGGCGGGCAGGGCGCTGCGTGGGAGCCTGGAGGGGAGCTGCTCTGGGTGGGACACGGCCCCTTGGGGGCCCTGGGGGTGGGACATCTCTGGGAGGAAGTGGAGAGGCCGGCTGCTTGGCCCTTTCCCTCTCACAGGGGCGGTTTCAGTATCCTGCCAGAGGCCCTGATGCTGTGTGGGAGCTTTTGTAGGTCCTGCCTCTGATGCTCGTTGTATCTAAGGGCACTTTAATTCCAGAAGCCTTGTTCCAGGTCCTTCTGTATTTGTTTAATAGGTGCATATTTAAAAATGTTAGTGTGTTCTTTGCTGTTGGTTCTTACTATTACAAAATTGGTTTTAAAATTGTATCTCAGGTATTTTCCTGAATTTGACAATTGAACAAAAATTCATAACTCTACATTACACGCTCACTTTCTAAGTGTACTAAGATCCTGAATTATTTTTCTAGAAGACATAACTATCAGATTTGTGATTACATTATTCTTCTAGGTGAAATTGCTAGGTACATGGAAGCTGTGAAATTACTGGACTACACTGAAAAGCCTCTTTATCAGAAGTTCCGAGATATTCTTTTGCAAGGATTAAAAGCTGTAGGAAGTAAGGATGACAGCAAATTGGACTTCAGTGTCATGGAGAATGGAAGTTTGAAAGCAAAAGCAGTAACAAAGGTGAGTTTTGCTCCTCAACTGTGCTTTCAGTTTCTTGTAATTATAGTTTCAACATACACTAACTTTTAGGAAATAAAGCAATTGCTCAGTAAAGAAAATAACAGATTGGGGCTGGAGGTTTAGCTCAGCGGCATAAGCACCTGCCTTGCAAGCAGGCAGTCGTGAGTTTGATCCCCGGTACCCATAAAAAGGAAAAAGACAAAAAAAGAAAAGAATAGATTGCTTAGGAATTGAATATAAGTGCAAGCTTTTTGTGATAACAATACTATATGGAGGGTTGTAGAAAAATAGATATATATATATTTTTTTATTTTAAAAACAAAAGTAACAAAATACAAAATTTCAAAAAATAGGAAGTTAACACTAGTTAATATTGCATATTATCTTGAAATTAGTTCAGATTATAAGATTTACACATGCATAAATGATCAATCAATGAAAACACAAACTGTGCTTTTTGATGAACTATCAAGAGATAACTCTAGTTATCTATCTTGTATATATTTACATAGAAACACACACACACGGAATTCTTTCCCTTCTTTGTTTTCTCCTCTCCCTGATCCCAGTTGTTCTTTCCTTTTGAGCATCTTTCCCTTTCCTTTTCACAATAACTAATGCACAGTACCTATTGTACTTCTTTTTATTTACACAAGGGAGACAATATGATATTTACATGTGAGTCTTGATTTATTTCACTTATAAGTGGTGTCTAGTTGCCTCCGTTTACCTATAAAAGCCTCACATTTATCCTTCTTTATAGCTGAGTGATACTCCATTGTAGTTTCCAATGTTTAACTGTTACAAATTGTGCTGCTAATAAACATGGGTGCACATATTTCACTATAGCATGATGTTTTCAGTTTTTCTGATACATACATATATATATATATATATATATATATATATATATCTTATGTGTAGTAGCAAGTTATAAAATGTCTAAAATGATTTTAACTTGAAATATTGATATCTGTTGAAGGGATTTTGTTAAGTCTCTAAATGACTGGCTGATTTTTTTTTTTTTTTTGTACCTAGGATTTGAACTCACCACCTCTTGCTTACTAGGCAGGCACTTGAATCACTGAGCTAAACCCCTGGCCCTAAGTCTCTAAATGTATAAGTTATGTGTTCTTTTCTGTCAGATCATCCCTTGGGGTTTGACCGTCTCAGTTTTCCCTTGTTTATGGGTATTGTCAGAGAGCTTGCCCTTTGAAAATTTCCTTTTTTGGTGGTTTGGTGTATCTACCATTTGAACGTTATTTTACTTTTTACTATCAGATCTATCTACATATAGAAGAATTAATTTTAGAGATAGACATTAAATAGTAACTTACAGAAGTATATGCACACGCATGAAGAACTGATACCTCTTTAAAATTTACAGCTTTAGTAAGTTGGTGTTGGATTGTTGAACAGAACCGTTTGCAGTCTCACTGTTTGAATGTCCACTTTGTATGCTTTAATTTTGTAACTTGAACAACTGTTTCTAAGAGGACAATATGTAATTTATCAACTAGTGATTTTTTACTGTTTATCTTTTTTGAAATTCTGTATTATTTCTACCCTTTTTCCTGTTTTGCTTTTTTCCTCTTTAAATAAATTTTTAAAAAATTCACTTTAAATTAATTATTGTTATTTTTGCTAATTTGTTGATAAACATACTGACTTCCGTTATTATCTGAAACTAATAAAACTTTAGCTATTTTTGTATAGGAAATAAAAATTACTTTTAGAAGAAAAATAATTTTCTTTAGATTGATTATTTTTACTCCGACTCTTTATTCAGTAGATTTCCTTGAAACTCTCCTATTTCAAACTCGGAGAAAAGGCTTTAATAATAAGTAAAATATCTTTCAAAGCAGAAGCAGCCTATTAAATGATTTTTGTAAATCTTAACATACAAAGCAGGTAGGAATTTCAGAATTGTGTCATGCAATTTACCTTCTTGACCCAAACGAATTTCCTTTCACAAGTTTGTCTCACTGCCTCTGCTGCGTTTCTGTGGTCTTTAGGTGCACTGGAAGCTAGCTCCAGGTGTGAGACACACAAGACCAGGTGGTAGCCAAGTGGCCTTTGCGCCGTGGTAGCCGCAGACTTTCTGTCTGCATACGTGCTTAGACATGCAGCATGCCTTGGCTGCTGGCAACGGGTTTCTTTGCACTAGTCTTTACAGCTAGCTTCTATGATGTTTTTCTGTAAATTGCACTGATCGGGAAGTGCATGCCTCTGCCACAGTGAGAACTTGTTCGGAACAGCTCGCCCTTCCTTTTCAGACCCCCGTCGTCAGATCCTGCATGCTGGGAAGATTTGGTTTCTGCAGGTTGGCTGACTTCACAGCTGAGTAGGTCAGTTTGCTGTGGTGCCAACATCTGTGACCTTGTCAGTGTTGTGTCCTTGGGTGACTGGAAATTTTCTGTTGGATCATCCCTGTGTGTGTAAAGCTTCAGTTAAGGTGAAATAAATTAAGTAAGCCAACTACTGGGAGGTTTGCGTCATTGTTTGCTGTGTTGTGTATACACCTTGCTGATGTGCGGCTATTTTTGTAGTAAAAAGAAATTACCAAAAGTTACCTAGGTCAGGTAAGATCGTGAAACTGCATAATAGCCTTATAATTGAAATGTGTTATTAATGTGGTTGTCTTTTTGTTTATGAAGTAAAATAGTTGGACAATACAAATTTAAAATTTTCTTTTCTTTGGTCTATTCTTAAGCCAGACAACATTTTTTTCCTAATAAATAAAAAATGCTTTCATTTAAAATAGATAGAAGCAGACCTCCACTGATTGAAAAGTTGGGGGCTCCCAAAAGCTTTCTCTTTGAGAAATTATATGCTACTTCCTTTTTAGCAGTTTATTCTACAGTTCAGTTGTTTTTTGTCCCCATGTTTACCAGGAGGCTCAGAAGTAAATATGGTGTTTAACTTAGAAACACAGTAATCATTACATGGTATGTTTGCTCTCTTTTTCTTGCTCATGATTTTTTGAATTATAAAGTATATTTGCTTTGTATTTATCAGAATGATGTCTCTTTTGGAAAGAAGTAGGTTTAATCAATTCAATATATTTCTTTTTAGGTTTTTAGGAGAGGTCCTTTATGCTTAATTTATAGGAATTGATTAACTGTGGAATGAAGCAAGGCTTTCCACCTTTTTTTTGGTAACTGGTGCAGCCTATTTGGAAACTAGAATGAAATGTGAGTTTGCCAACTTGGAAATGTGTTTGGCCAAAGGTCAAGGAGTTTTATTCAGTTCACAGAACTTTGGAATGTTGTAAGCCTGAAGAAGAAAGAGACCAAGAATAAATCTGCCTGTAAAAATATAAAGCCAAAGATTTTCCTTGTTGATTACAACTAAACACTTTTCATGAGAACCTGGCAGTACACGGCAGTGGTTATTGGATTTAGTGTGTACTCTTAAATCAACATTCAATAGTTATTGTATAAGGCCTGATTTATGTACCTGGTCTTGGCTGAGTCCCTGGGGCTACAAAGATCAATAACTCGTCCCATCCTTAAAGAATTCCTCCCTATCCCTTCCAGGCTAGGAACAGCTTAATTTACTGGACGGAGCTCAGTGAGTTAAAAGGACATTAATACCTCCATTAGCTGTTTTCTTCTAGGGCTTTGATTAAGTTGCCTGCTCAACTCGACAGAAAGCACTGTTGATTGGAATCGCTGGATCTGTGTCCCCGGGGATGTGTCCAGCCGCTCTAGAGCTTGGTCCTGCCGTTTGCCTCTTGGCTTCTCAGTGTCTGACAGGGAGTGTTATTCCAGTGAGCCATGTGCATGCAGCCTTCATTCCTCCACCCTGTTATAGCTGGTCTCTAAATTTCTTTTTAGATACTGTATGCTAATTGACTTTTCTAGAGTTTCTCTGAAAAATCATCAGCCATTGTTGAGTAGATCTCTGCTGGCTGTCAGTCCTGAGCAGGGCACAAAGAGAGGAAGAGACGTGGAGGCTTCGTCCCGGTTGGTAGCCTCGGCTGCTGTGATGGATGCCTGCCCTTGCTCTTTCAGAGGCGATGGCACCTCGGACAGCGTTTACCCCTGTAGTCCGGAGGTGGAGTAGCTCTTCCCAAACATGTGCTCAGATTTGGAGGAGAAGCTCTCCACCTGGATGAACACGCTGACTGACGGAGGTGACTGCCTTTCAGGGTCGTCCGTTTCTGCTTTCTAACGGCTCGGTCACAGCGCTGCATTTCTGGGGTGTGAGTGTCTACTCGTATTTTCCTGTAGACCATTTCCATTTCTTTATTTCGAACCTTTTCCCATTTTGTCAAGTAGGTTTTTTTCCACATGAAGTTTTGAGTGAGTTTATTACATATACCCAGAAAAATGCACAAAAAAGTGTGGGATTTGAACTTTACAGAGTGAACATTCGCATTTAAACGTCACCCAATCAAGATAGGAATCATTACAGAATTAGTTTTGCCATTTAAAAAAATACATAGGAGTGACTATGTGCTCTTGTGTTTTTAAATCCAGTTTTATGTCTGAGTTTCTGTGATGTCCATAAGGAAACTTCTTCGTTGTCGCTGTATAGTACCAGCTTTTAACTGTGATTGTATTTAGTTACCTCTTGTGGTGTTGATAGACATTTGAATTATTTCCACTGTTTGACAATTATAATAATGTTAAGAACATTATGATTTCTTTTGAGAAGCATTTATTTCAGACTTGGCAATTCATAGTAGAATTGCTGAGGTATAGGTCATCCATAACATTCAGCTTTAATAGACAGTAGCCAGTTTGTTGAATTTGGTATCAATTTATATTCCCACCAGCACTTGCTACGAGTATCATTTGCTGTCTGACACTAGCTATTGTATTATACTTAATTTTGTCTATTGTAATAGGTGTGCTCTGATTTTTTTATGGTTTTAATTTGACCTCATTAACAAACTGATTTTGAACACCCTTTTATATGCACATTGGCCTTGATTATCTTTTTTTAATATGCACATGAAGTCATTTGATTTCTCCTTTGTTTCCTTTTCTTATTTAGAAAAATGTGGGTTGTCCACTTTCTTTTGATTTGCTAGAGGTCTAGTACTCTGTGTGTACAGATGTGTGTACCTGTGTATGTACTGCACCTGCCATCCTCAGGTCAGTGGATTATCTTTTCACTCTCTTAATATAATTTTTTTTTTTCTTTTTTGGTACCAGGGATCAAACTCACAACCTTGTACTTACCGGGCAAGTGCTTGAGCCACTGAGTTAATCCCCAGCCCTTAATTCAACTTTTAATAAACAGAAATTCTTCATTTTAATGAAGCCTAATTCCCCAGTCTTTTTTGTTTATAGTTACTGCTTTTTTTTTTTTTTAAGATCATGAGGCTGTTACGTTGTCACCAAGAAATTGTATCACATTTAGATCTAAAATGTAGAAGAAGTTGATTTTGTGCATAATGCAAGTCATTATGTGTTTCCCCTGGGTGAATATCTGGTTGATCTGAGCCACTTACAGGAAAGGCGGTCCTATCCCTGGAGCACCACCGCAGGTGCTGAGAAGAGCTGCGCTGGGTGTGTGTGCGCGGCCTGCTCCGCACTCGGCGCACTCCCGGTACCCAGCTACTCGCTTCCTTAACACGGCTGCTAATGTCAACCTCCAGCTTTGTCCTGCAGGCCGGTAACCTTGGCCAGGGGGAGAATCTCAAGATGGAGGCCATCCTGACAACTTAGTGACCCTCAATGGAAAGAACTTGGGCTATACGTCAGTGCTTCCTGTGCCCAGTGTCCCCGCCCAAGTTACCATTGCTTGGCCCCTTTCCATTGCCATACAAATTACAGAATCAGATTATTAATTTTTGGACTTTGATTGAAATTACAGGATTGATATCCTTAAAATATTCTCTTCCATGAGTATGATTTACTGTCTTTATGTAGATATTCTTCCAGTAATCTCAGTCATGTGTGTGGTTTTCTGTGTCTGGAGGATCATACATACTTGCCTTCTCTATTTCCTGCTAATGGTTTTATGGTTTAGATCTAGAATGTCCCCAGAAGCCTTACGGATCCAGAGATGGAAGTCTTAAGAGGTAATTGGATTGTGAGGTGTCTGGATTGCTCTGAATGCAGTTAGGAGGCGAGGCCCCATTGAAGTGGTCTCCGGGAGTGTGTTGGAGGCTCGTGCTTGTTCCTGGCCTCTGTGGGGTGAGTTGCTTTCCTTCCCCACTCCCTTCTCCTGTGCTGTTCCTGCCGTGTAGCAGCTACAGCCCATGGACTGAATTCCCCAGAGCAGCTGGCCAGATTAAACCCTTCTCCTTCCAGGTGTAAGTGTGTCTCATGTGTCTCAGTGACAGGAGCTGACTGGTACATGCTATGAGTGACTTAATTCTTGTTCTTCTACATGATTTGTAATTTTTTCAAACTTTGCCTTCATGTCATCCAGTTGTCAGCTATGTCTGGTGTTGGCTATTTCTACTGTGTTAGTACCGTGATGAGTACAGTATTGTTCTTTTAGAGCCATAGTTTCCTTATTATTATGTTTTCCTTTTTAACATTTTTTCTCATTTTTAATCTGTTGTTTTTAAGCTACTGATGCATTTAATGAAACTTTCTTTTTCTTGGGAGGACAGTATTCTGCTTCCGAGTGGAGGCTTCAGTAACCTTTCACATGCTATGAATATTTATTTTCTTTTGTCCTTAGTACTTCGACTTTCTTGGCATGCTTTTCCTGTTCCTCTTACTCATATTGAGTAGAGATAGTTTTACATGGACTCATTAC